CGACTATTGCGCGTAGGTTGGACTGTAAGAAAACACAAAATGACATTTTGTAAATACAAGAGCATCATTTTGGGATTACGCATTGCTGGGAAATGCACCGTGTGCTTATCAGCTCATGTGATGATGCGCTAAATCACTGGGAATAGAGCGTTTGTTGTGTATTTATGATCAAATATCAGCAGTGAGCGCCTGGCCACATCATGGGGCTGTGTTACAGTCTGCGTCCCCGCTTGTTTGGGGACCTCAGTGGATCCATTTCCAACTCGGAGTCAGATCACCAGCCTCCGGATCCCGGCATGATGATGATGCCGTCGTGCGTCCGGGGCTCCAGGCAGCGCGACGAGGACTCGGGGGGGAACAGCGGGAAGACATCATCCACCTCCCCTTTGGACGCCGGGGAGCTCCGCCGTGGCGACGCGGACAGAGCGCTCATCCAGAACGGAGGAGGAGGAAAGAGGAGGCTGCAGCTGCTCCAGACTCCCAGCAGCGCCCAGAAACAAAAGAACTGGGACAAACTGGTGGTGGAGGAGAAGGAGGCCGAGAAGGAGGCCAAGAAAGTCAGTAAGAACATTGACAGGGCCTTGAAGGAACTCAAACGGGAATATAAGCAGACGCATCGGCTGCTGCTCTTAGGTGGGTGATGCTGCCGTGCCTACTGTATGTTGGTTCTCTTCTTCTTCTTCTAATTATTATTGTCGTGTTATTGAAAATTAGTGGGCATTGACGTCATATAGCCGTGCTAAAATGTATGCTAGCATACTTGACAGATGAATATATTCTCAGTACATTCGTAACGACTCATCATAATACACTTGTAGAGATTAATTAATGATCATTTTAATGACCGATACCGATTATTTTAATGATTGCATTTTTATGTGTACTAATATGCTGGTTTTATTTCTGCTTTTGACACATAACTAAATAATTCTTAGACTACAACAATAAAAACATTATGAACTATGGATATTTTCATAAAAGTGAATAAAATAATAATTTTATTTTTGACTAAATCAATTACGAAAATGTGAAATGTTTCAAAACAATGAGATTTGAGGAGAAAAACTGAATGTGTAAAAATATCAGTCAATTAAAAACATAGTGTACATTATTAATAGTTTATTATTATGTTGTTATTTTATTATTTTTTTGGAGGTAGATTTGCCATTTGTTTTAATGCATCGCAATGCATTAAAAGTATAATAGGTGAATATGATAATGTATAATAACCGAGTTTACAATTATTTATTACAAAATATAAAAATATAATGCATTTATGTATTTCGAGGCATTAAAATACTTCTATAATAATACGTCTATATATGTTCAGGCTTCAAAAAAAAAAATGTAACCATACATTATTTTATGTTATCTATTTATATGTATTATTTGCCATCTTGGGCCTTTAAATAAAAGAAAAAATATAATTTTCAAAAGTATATTATTCTCCTTCCATAGACAATTAATGGATCTGGTGATGATGTAAGTGAGCAAGATATCAGAAAATAAAACTGAGCTCATAGTTTTTCAGCCAGGACATGATGCTTTGATAAGATACTAAGCCATAGTAAAAGAATCTATTACTTTGACCTCTGCGACGCTGATAACTCACACAAATATCCTGATAGTCTTTTAGTTTAATGCTGGAAACCAGCTAGACAACCTGCTGAACTACACACATGCATGTTTGATTTTAAACAACACACTATACAGAAACGTACTGAATAGTCTCATATTAAATACGAGTACCTAATTTGATTCTATACAGCTGTTTTAAATGCTGCAAGAGCATTTTCCTTTATCTAAAGATCAGTTTTCCAGATATGTCTTTAGTACTGGACTGTAAAGTTTGGTATGTTGCTAAGTGATGTCTGTGCTGATTGTATACTGAAACCATTTGTGTGGATGCGTGTTTCCAAAGGCATGAGTCATTAGGACTAAAGGTATTAGAATGACTGTCAATTGATTTCATTCATTTATTGTCCATTGCTACTGATAACATGATGAACTGGCTGACTTCTTAATCCACACTGGGAATTTACAGTTGTTCCATAATCTTTCATGCTGCTATATCAAAAGGCACTTGATATAAAGAAAGACAGTGGCCTTAAAGGAATGGTTTACACAAAAAATGAACATTTGCTGAAAAATAACTTAATCTTAGGCCATCCTAGATGTAGATGAGATTGCTTCTTCATGGGAGCAGATTTGGAGAAATTTACGTCACTTGCTCACCAACTGTATCCTCTGCAGTGAATGGGTGCCGTCAGAATAAGAGTCCAAACAGATGATAAAAACATCACAATAATCGAGAAGTAATGCACACAACTCCAGTCCATCAGTTAACATATTGTGAAGCGAAAAGCGGTGTGTTTATAAGAAACAAATGCATCAAGACTTTTTAATTTTAAACTGTTGCTTCTGCCGAAAATATTACGGACGCATATTTTAGGCAGAAGCAACAGTTTTCATTTTTGGGTGAACTGTTCCTCTACTCTGACCAAACTCAGAATCCAGCAATGATTTTGGAGCTATTAATAAAGAGAGAGCAAATTTGCACGGTTTACTGGCACATGGCTCAGTTGAACTCTGGCATAGTTGGCCAAAGACAAACACAGAATGGCATCTCAGATCTTTATGCATTCATATTTTTCTATTTTAATTTCATATATTTATTTTCTTGTATTAATCTAAGGAGGCCTGGTTTTACAGTAGTGTTACACTCTAAAAAATGCTGGGTTGTTTCAACCCAACTTTGGGTCAAATATGGACTAACCCAACCGTTGGGTTAAAAATTTAATGTAAAATTTAACCCAACGGTTGGGTTAGTCCATATTTGACCCAAAGTTGGGTTGAAACAACCCAGCATTTTTTAGAGTGTATGAAATTGAAATTACATAAAGGCTGATTAAACAACCTTGGCTGCAGATGTTGTCAGTTTTTAGAAATTGATTATAGAATTATAAAGAGAGAAGTCATCCATGATGTGGCTTATAAATTAACTTTAATGGAGGATCTCGCTGAGTTATCTTGAAGCTTTATGGTACAGTTATTTTTAGTTCAGAAGAATGATACATCCTTGGGAATGTCTTTGTACAAGTTGTACTGTAACTACTTAAATATGTGGCATATCAAGTAGTAGATAACACAGCACTAAAGCGAACATCATTTCCTTTTAATAGCGGTAACAGGTATTTTGGCTATTATTAAATAACATGTCTAGTAGCTTATATTTAATGAAAGCTCATAGCCTATTTTAAGTGACCTATATTAAAATATAGCACATGCTTTGTCTGTTGTAATGGATGCATCACGCGTTAATAGCCAAAAGGCATGTTTAGCTCCTTCCATAAGTGTTGAATAGTTTGATTATGGTTGTACCATGTAGGGAATCCTTTAGGGGCAAAACCAAGAGGTTGTCATGCTTCCACACAAGTTGGTATTGTTCCTTTCTGTAGCATTGCAATGTGAAGTGTATGTGGTCTGTAAACTGAACTTTGTCACCCTGTAAATAGGTTTGATCATTTACTGAACGTGTACTTTGGCTCTAGCGTGGCCCTAACTGCATATGGCTAGCTAATTGTAATGGTAGCATTATGCAATATGCTCTGTTGTTTTGAAAGATTTGAGCTTTAGGCCAGAAACATACATGTAGATTTCATCCTCGAGTAAATACAAGCATCAACGATTTTGCCAAAATCTCTTCCATCCAGTCTAACGCAGTGAAACAAATTGGTACCTATGGATATTCTGCAGAAATTGCAGTAGTTTTTGAATACTTGTTGGTTATGAGAGAAGTTCGAATGACATTGGTTTAACATATATCCATATAACGGTTTTTAAATGTTAATAGGGCTTAGATAAACTAATAAGGCTGTCTGGTATGAACTGTTTTGTTTTCTTGCTTGAAGACACTAATTCAGACCTTCAAACCTGAGCACAACTATCACACACAAATTATGAGATATTAAAAAAACAAATAAAACTTCTACAGAATGGTTTCTGTATGAACAATACTTCACATGATGCTGCAGCAATGTTGAAATATTGTTGGTCTGATTTAGTTGTTTTCCTGACCTAAAGTAGTTGGGCCTAAAGTATTTTTTTATATATTGTTATATATTAAATTTCTAAAATTGTATCTAATATAAAATCCCTAAACCACTAATGCTTCTGTTTTCTATACTGTTAATACCCATTTGAGCCACTAGGAAACATTTTCTTATATATTTTGATATAATTATTCTTATATATTTATATCTCAGTGCAAGAGTTGATGTGCTTGCAAAGATGCTTTTACATTTTTTTTCTTCATAATTTTAATACATGTTTAAATGTACTGTATTTGCAAGCATGGTGCATATTTCATGGTTTCCCACAGTTGCTTAATGGTTTAACAAAAGTCAGTTCACATGAATTTAAAAGCTTTTAATAGACGTTTTATGAGAAGTGAAAGTCATTTGTGTTCTTAAGTATAAAATAGGAGAACTGCAATTTTTAAAGAAGTCGCTTGTTGACATATATGATGATTTGATGAAATATTAAAGTCTGATAAGGTCAGACCAAAAAAAGGTTATGAATATTGACTGTTTCTAGGTCAACCAGGCTTTCTTGTTGAAGCCACTGTTGCTTTCTTTTATATTATTCATTTATGTGGTGAAACTCATCTAGTCGGTGGTGACCACTGGATTAAAAGGTGTTGTATAATAACTCAAAAATAATAATTGTAGCTAGTAAAAGTGAGAAAGTTGTCGTTTTAGCCAGACATCATAATTAAATTTCCTGTGTGCTAAAATAATCGGTATAATAACAGAACATAGCTCCCAGTTTAGTCAGTAGTCAGGTTGGCCTTAGAGGGAGAACTTTCAGTTTGTCAGGCTGAGAGACCCTAAACCGTTTAAGACCTGCAAAACCAGTTTAGACCGGTTTAAGATGGGTTTTTTTCCAGTATAAAACCGGACAGACTTTGAGACCCTGCCATACAGCTGCTACAATGACACATTCGCTACACTTTACACTGTATCATTCTTTACTCACGTTGTTACGTCGAAACGTTCGATTTACGATCTCGTTCGTTACAGTCAGCGATACTTTGTAACAGTTTTCCTGGTTCTTAACCGCCATTAGTGTGACGACAGAGGCAGTGCTGAGTTACAGACTACAGCAGAGATACAGGCAGAGAATATCACATAGCAAAATACAGAGAGGGCGACAGAACAGAAGAGAAGGGAAGAGCGCCTGGCAGGGGCTCACAGAGACACCCGGATCCAGATGCAGGTTCATATCCCACCTTACCGATCGATATGTGATCAGTTTCATCAATCCCGTCGCCTGAATGACGCCCGGGCTGCTTGAGACGTTGTAACAGGGAGGAGAAACAAAACCCTTCCCGGCGACCTTTTTTCTCTCTCTCTCTCTCTATTGTGGATCATTTTCTCTCTTTGGGATCGGAATTGGATTGATCGTTCATAAGGGCAGCTCGCAGATTGGCTTCCAGGGAGTAAGATGGGGTGTTTGGGGAGCAGTAAAACCGAAGACCAGCGCATCGACGAGAAAGCACAGCGAGAGGCCAACAAGAAAATAGAGAAACAGTTGCAAAAAGAGAGACAGGCTTATAAAGCCACACATCGACTGTTGTTGTTGGGTAAGAGGAGACTTGAGGCGTTATATCCGACATACGAGACCCATACGAGGCTGTGTTTTTTTGAAACGCACCGTGTTTGACAGCTCGATCTGGCATGTCGGATTGTACATATGAAGAACACACGCCGTGATATCTGAAGTACCTGAGAGACTTTGCATGTATTCACACGGCTGTGTTTGCTTTCCTAGGTGCTGGGGAATCGGGGAAAAGCACTATCGTGAAGCAGATGAGAATTCTTCACGTCAACGGGTTTAATGCGGAGTGAGTACCTGTTTACTGTACTGATGTCATATATGTGCATGGAAGGGCGTTATGTGAGTGCTGGGCCCTGTGTTCAGCCTCGGCATGGCGAAGGAAACCCTCATACATGCTGAAGCAGATAGTGATGTAGCACTACATGCTATCAGCTAGTGCCTCACTGCAACATCACTGTTATATGCTCGTACAGAATCTGTATGTAAGTAACACACGAGTGAGAAGTGACTGGAATCCTAGAATCGTAGACCAAATGTTCATCAAGCCTCTGGGTGTTAAAAGTTTCATGCGTGTTTCTTTAAAACAGTTTTTGCATCCTGATGGTAATAATTGTAATAGCATGTCTAAATGACACAACTTCGTTAGCAATTCTGTGTCCAGCTCCAAACTACTTATAAGCAAAAAGAAACATAAAAGTAGTTCATATGTCTTCTGAAGTCATATGATAGGTTTGCACCAGGAAGAGACTGAAATTCAAATCGTTGGTTACTTAAGGCCTTTCCGTTCACTTTAGCTCTCAAATTTCATTCTCAATTTCATGTCAAGTATGGTTGAGATACACAGGCATTTGGCTTTGGTGAGGCTTGGAATGTATAATATATAGTTTTTATGGTGTTTATTATTTTTTTTTAGCTAATTTTGAGCTGTCACTGTATGGAAAAGAGCTGAATGAAGATTCTCTGAAATATCTCATTTTGTGTTCCACAGAAAAAACTTTGGAATGACATGAGCGTGATTTTAATAATGACAAAATTGTAATTTAAAGGCACAATACGTGAGATTTTTTTATTAAAATATCCAAAAAACCACAAGAACCGTGTTATATATTTTGCGTACTTACATTATCCCAAATGTGTCGAAGAATGTTTAAATCCAGAGAAATAGCAATTTTAAATAGTGGCTCGTCCCTGGTCATTGCGTCGCCTGCCAATGTCGTCGTACACCCTCGATTTCCGGTTTTGTTTTGTAGAAAACATGAGAACACCAAAGACGCTTTAATATGTTATGCGTTTTATTAGACAGGTGACGACCGCACAGAGTAGCATTATAACAGAACTTTCAAATGTATCTAGTATGATAAAACAGCTCTGCTTTACCCCACATACGCACGACTGGAAGGGGCGGAAGCTCCGCTGTTTGGAGCCGTGTGTCACGCTCGTCTCTCTTTAGCAATTGCTTTAACGGCCTCGTTTCGCTTCGACGGCTTTCCGCCTCACCCTGCTTCATGCTACGATGTAGGGCTGTGCAAAAAATCGAATGCGATTTTCATGCGCATCTCGCAGGCGATTCATTGCCGATTTTGAACGCGATTTTGTGTAGCTTTGTTTGTTTTGTATACGCGCCCTCTAGCGGCGAAAACTTACATATTGTGCCTTTAACTATTCCTAGAATGAACCAGTAGTTGGAGATTTGAAATTCAGTCTTCAATTTTATTTTTACATTTTTCTGTCTTTTGACCAAATTTAAATGTTTTCCCATACAGGGAAAAGAAACAGAAGATTCAAGACATTCGCAAAAATGTGAAGGACGCCATCGTGGTGAGTGTGCCTGATTTAGTTTCTAAAAGTTGTTTTCTAGATCGTATCTCGGTCTCACAGCTCATAACTCTTTGGTTTTTATTTCTAGACCATAGTGTCTGCAATGAGCACTTTAATACCACCCGTCCCACTCGCTAATCCAGAGGACCAGTTTAGGATCGACTATATCAAAAGCATAGCACCGCTCTCTGACTTTGATTACACACAGGTAAGGAGCCTCATTTTTATAATTTACCCAGGATGTTTTGAATGGCATTTGAATTTGTGTAAATGTTCTGAGGTTTTTGAACCGCTTACCGAGAGGTTTTGTACGAGCATTTTGATTTATGAAAATACCAGTTTGCATGATCTTTTTTTAAATCACGTACTTGAGGTGAAACCCCTGCTACTAGCTGGAAGTTTGATTATGTTACTGACAAAAGTTACTTTGTGGGAATGCAGATACTGGCTGCTTTGTTGCTGTTTGAGTTTGTCATTTAAATGGATGGTAAATATTATAATTTTTAACAGTAAAGATGAAAAATGAGGTCTTAATTTTGTCAGCAGTTGGGATAAAGTTCTAGCATTTCTAGCAAACACCTAAAACTTTAAAAAATTTATTTATAGACATACTCCATTATCATGTAGATGTGTTTTCATTTAGTGTTTAGTGTATATTTATATATTTTGTATTTATATATTTATTTTAGGCAGTAGTTAAAATATTCTATTTTAAAATGTTTTTTTTTTCTTGAAACTATGCAATAATACAGTTAGCATGTTGCTGTGATAGCTTACGTTCTGTTTGTACTTTGTCATGCATTGTTGTTGCATCTGTGGTTTGCTAGCTCATTAGGTTATGTTTGTGAGGGATATTTTGGGTTCATATGTAGAATTTAATTTCTAGATTGACTAATCCAGGAGACCTTGACTAATCCACGGGACAGAGAAGGTTTTCACATTAAATGCATTTGCATCAATTACTTTAGTTGTCAGTCGACTGAGTGCAATTCAGGACAGATACACAAATATAGTCTTTTTGCACTTGTCAGCGAGTTTTGTGTTCCTTAAAGTAGCTGTGTGTTTTAGCCGCAGGTTGGCATAGGTTTACTGAACCTGATATTTGTGTCAGTCATTAGAAGACACCGAAGTCATGGAAAAATTGGCAGTGTTGTTTTCTCAGCCTTGCTTGTTTCAAGGTATCAAGTAATGACTTTGGAATTGGGTTGACCTGGGGAATTTTCAGTGAAATTTGTAGAATTCCATCTGATCTGGCTGAATCAAACTGAAACTGACACTAATTATATACTGTAGATGTTCTCACTCTGTCGTACTGATTCTGTCTTTTAGATTAGCATGTTTTCTGCTGTGCTTGAGTTTTGTTTTTAGCATTAAGCAGTGTGCGATGGGGTCAGTTATTTTTTTTTTATTCTTATTTTGTTGTGGTATTCTAGCACATTTAATGCCTTTTCAGAAAAGTTGTACGGTGATATGGCAGATGTCTTGACTTTTTGGTTGCACAAATGTTGGCTTTGTGTTTTCAGACAATGGAGATTTATAATTAGACCGTTTTAGACCACAGATCTCAGCTCCTGGATTTCTCTTTAATGAATTAATGGTACATGAATTCATCAATTTTCGAATGTTTGTACGGTTGGATTGAAAATACCGGAAAGTCCAGAAAATTCAGTTCTTATTTAGTGAGTAATTTGTAGTTTAGTCTTGGGTTCAACAGGTGATCGATGCAATATTGACTGCTAACATGTATTTTGTGTGTTATCTTAAAGGAATAATTCACCCAAAAATGAAAATTTGCTGAAAATGTATTCACCCTCAGGCCATTCAAGATGTAGATGAGTTTGTTTATTCATCATTTAGCATTGCATCACTTGCTCACCAATGGATCCTCTGCAGTGAATGGGTGCCGTCAGAATGAGAGTCCAAACAGCTGATAAAAACATCACAATAATCCACAAGTAATCCACACCACTCCAGTCCAGCATTTAACATCTCGAGAATGAAAAGCTGCATGTTTGTAATAAACAAATACATCAAGATGCGTTTAACTTCAAATCATTCCTTCCAGCTAAAATATGAGGCCTCTATCCATAATATTGCTTTCTTCAGGGAAAAAAGTTGTCTCAAATGAATCATAAGAGAAATGTGCACAGATCAAGCACCGTTTACAACAGTTCTAAACAAAAATATATCAGAATTTTGGCCAGAAGTTATGGTTTAAAAGAGTCGTGTGGATTACTGGATTATTTATTAGCTCATTCTGACGGCACCCATTCACTGCTGAGGATCCAGTGGTGAACAAGTGATGCAATCTTGGATATGTTCCACTTAGAGGAAAGGATGTACATTTTAGCTCTTGTACCTTAGGGTACCGTCCCAGTGACAGCTTTGTACCTTTTTTTAAAACTGTATTTTACAGCGGTTCAAGAAATATAAAATTTTTCCTAATAACATATGGTCATTAGTTCTAAAAAGTACATGTCTGTAACAGCTATTAAAGCTAAAAAAGAATTCATATTTCAGTACATTATGTAAAGTTGCAAACAAGTAGGAAAAGAAACTAGCTTTTGAATGCTTGCATGATGAGATGTGCTCGGAGCAGTGGCGGGCCGGTGTGATCAGTCAGTCTATTTCCAGAACAGCCAAAAGGCTTTTAACCTAAACACATTTTATGAATGTAGCTGCAAGTATTTAGTGGTATCAGTTCAAGAAATATGTCTTAAATGAAATGAAGAGGCAAAATGATTGCTAATGCTATTGACATTCAGTCATTTTGGCATGCATATGCTCTACATTTGTAAGAAATTGTTGTTTTAAAGATGTTTGTTGTTTCCACAGGAGTTTTTTGATCATGCGAAGAAGCTCTGGGATGATGAAGGCGTTAAGGCGTGCTATGAACGCTCCAACGAATATCAACTAATCGACTGTGCACATTAGTAAGTATAAGATTAATCGTACAGTTAACTTGGTGTCTATATTATGATGGCGACTTTTGGTTTTGCTTTGCTTATTGCTTAAGTTGCTGCTACCAAAAAGGTATTTTATTCAAGAAGTAGACGAAAGCTTAATGTCTTCCTCTGTTGATAGTTATGATAATAGCTTGGATGTTTGTTTGGACTGTTTAGTGGTTCTGTTTATTTGTATGGTGGTAGCCATTTTGAAAGCTGTTGTGGTCAGTCATTCGAGTTTACTGATGTTTTGAACAGAATAGCTTAATCGTGCGGTTGTTATAATGTGAATCTGAAGGGAATATGTTCAGTAAACATAGCGGGACCTGCATGGCCTATATATATATATATATATAATATTTTTTTACAGAAGCTCATCAAGGCTGCAATTATTTGATCAAAAATACATTAAAAACAGCAATACTGTGAAATATTATTACAATACAAAATTATATATTATAAAATTCTATTTTAATATATTTTAAAATTCCTGTGATGAAAAGCTAAATTTTCAGCATCACTACTCCAGTCTTCAGTGTCACATGATCCTTCAGAAATCATTCTAATATGCTGTTTTGCTGCTTATTATGCTGAAAACAGTTGTGCTGCCTAATATTTTTATGGAAAATGTGATGCATTGTTTTCAAGATTCTTTAATTAAAAGAAGGTTCAAAAGAACATCATTTAATTACAATCTAAATCTTTTGTAACATTATGAAAGTATTTATTGTCCGTTTTGATACATTTAATGCATCCTTGCTGAATAAAAGTATTAATTCCTTTAATAAAAATGTACTAATATCAGACTTTCGAGCGGTAATGTAGGTGTTTATTGTGACATCGATTTGGATTAATTATCCAACAACTGACTAGTTCATTATTAAGGCAGACTAGTTTTAAAAAACCTTTGTTTGAAGCCACTGTGCTTCAGATGTTTGACGGTGTGCACTGTAAAACCTTCTCGGAAAAGTTGTGTCTGTAAATCGGGGTCAGGTAAACCTGAAACCAGTTCAGGCAACCGAGCAACTAGTCTGTTTTGAAAATATGTAGTTTTGCACATCCCTAGAAGGAACGTGCCTGATCAGGCTCAGATGAACGCGAAACCAACCTGTTTATTCAGGGCTTCCTTAAGACATTCAGGCAGCCCACTTCAAACATGATATATATATATATATATATATATAAGAAAGAGATTGTAGATTGTTTTTACGTCCACTGGTGGCACTTTTAGGCCAGTGCTGGTGTTTCTCCTGTGTAACAGTGGCTGTGTGTCAGGTATGAAAGCATGAGGAGGATGGTCAGGTCATGGGAGTTGGTCAGCCGCTTGGTAGGACACAGATAGCATCACCAGCTAGTGCAGTGCCTGACACATAATGGCGACTGTTGTCTCAGTCAGAAAAGGCCCGGAGATGCTCGGAGGATCATACAGACACCCAGATGCTCTCAATACAGGCTTGTTCTTTGTGGCAATACTGAGAATTCCTCTGTTATACAACTTCAAATCAGTGTCTGCTCAGATGTGTTTGCTGTGATCCAGGTCGATCCAGGGGTGGATGGTCTTAGAAATCAGATAAATCTAATTGCATCCAGTTTGTTGTTGTTGTTTTTTTTTTGGAAGTTATAGAAGAAAATGTTAGTGGTGTTTCAACTCGCCCTCATGTGATTTTTAGGTAGGGCTGCACAGTTAACCGGAATAAAACCGAAATTGCAATATGACTCAAAAGGGTTAAAGGTTATGATTTACTGAAGTATCTCAGAGATGATTCGCAGGAAATACTGCTCCATACAAACTCCATTTTTGCATCTGCTCTGAGTTTAGGTCACTTTAATGTGCATTGGGAACACAAACATGCGCCAATTATCTTCCCGTACTAGTAATCATAAGCGTTCAACAAAAGAGAAGCTTTAAGGGCTTTCTGCTCTTTACCGTCAAAATAAAAGTTTTGGTTTAACTGCTGAAAATTAAGAAATTAAGATGTAAATATTGTTAGGGTGAGGAAAGGCAAGGCAAGTTTATTTATATAGCACATTTCATACACAATGGTAATTCAAAGTGCTTTACATAAAAGGAAATAAAATAATCATAAAAAAATAATCACAACAATAAAACAAGGAATTTTAAAACTTTTAAAATGATTTAAAGTTAGGGTTAGGTTATTTTTTGATGAAAAAATCTGTAATTTTTTGTAATGTTAATTTAGTAAGTTGTCATGTAAAATACAATTATTAAGTTTCTTAAATTTTAGATGTTTATTTTACAATGAAAGATTACAATAGTAACATTTTTTATTTTGTCTTTATTTTGTCATTATGATATTTTTATTTAGTAATGTTATTTAAAATAAAAAATATGAATGAAAATATTAATAAAAATAAAAACGATTATTTACATTTAAATGAATATTTAAATTTATTATATTGATATATAATCACAACATTTTGGTCAAATTGTGCAGCCACATAAAAGCACAGCAAATGTGGAATATTTATTTATTTATTTTTTTAAATCAGAAAAATCGATAGATTTTTGCAGAGCTTTGCAGTTGTTTGAGGTGTTTTGAGTAGTTTAAAGTGTGTTTCTGTGCAGTTGCTATTTGCCCGAGTGTTCTGATTGGTTGCTTGCTGAACTGGATTGAGAGAATTCACCCTCCAGTCTATGATTTCTAGGTATTTCTTGTGTATGTCCTTCAGTGTAAGTCAGTGTAAGATTTTTGCACCTGTATTTTGTCTTCCTAAGTGTTAATTAAATTCCTGGAAAAGTAATAGCACACCTCTCCTCAACAAACCACACAATTGGAGGTCATTCGTACAGCACTAATGTTGCAGGACAAGTTATGTGCTAAAGTTTAATACTTGGGGTTAAAGGTTTGTTCAGAACACTAACCCTAAGCATGAGCAATAATAATAGTTATGCCGGCTTTAGCAAACACCAGTAATCCAGTAATTATATCTCAGTATTATTTAGACTTTTGACAATGTTATACACATTTACTATTTATTCTATACATTTAAATTTACTCTAAAATGACTAAAAGTACAGCCTTAGGAAAAAAACAACAATAAAATGTAGTTAAAAATAATAAAGGCATGTTTTCCACACTATTTCACTAAACGAACAAAATAATGATATTTAGGGATGTCTATTTATATAGTAATAATAAAATTTATAAACAATATCTATTTTTTTACTAGACTCCACACTATTTCACTAAACGAACAAAATAATGATATTTAGGGATGTCTATTTATGTAGTAATAATAAAATTTATAAACAATATCTATTTTTTTACTAGACCATTTTTAAAGCTTGTAACATGCCATGCAGTGTTCAGACTAAAGCTCTACAAATTTTTCCAAATCATTTGCAGTTTCTTTTAACAAAAAACACAATGTTATATCTAAATATGTGAGTATTTGTAACTTTGACAATTATGAATTCATAAAAAATGCTTTTGCTGTATAATAATGACATTTTACTCATTACCGATTTGTTTATCATTTTCCAATGAATTCAAATTAAACTAAAAGCTACATTGTTTAATGTTACAGAAAGTATACATTTCATACATTATAATTGCAAACAGTTGCATTCTTAAATAATTTTTTCTTTTATATTTACATTTATTTATGCATTTAAGATTTTCATTTTTAAAGTGAAATCAGGCATCAAAACATAACATAAAAAAGATGGAAAACTGTTTTTTTGTTTGTTTTATTTTATGTAAACATACCTGATATTTACTTTTTTTTTAAACAGACCTGACATTACTGAGACTAAATATCGTCTTAGAAATGTATAAAATTGTGTGTGTGTGTATGTGTATATATATATGTATATATGCGTAATATGTGTGTGTTCTGTGTATATTTATTATGTATATATAAATACACACACATACAGTATATATTTTAAAGAGATTGTGGTTGGGCTGTCTGTCCCCCTCCTCCCTCCGCCAGCGCTTATGTAAAGGAACAGCGCAGCCGGGGCAAGCAGGAGCTATTTATAGCGCAGCACTGCAGAGCACTCACTGGTGGAGGGCGTCACGTGTGTGTGCGCGCCGCCGAATCAAAGGGAGTATCCCGGCAATGCGCGTAAACAAAGGAAGGTCAGAAAGAGAAGGTGAGGCGCAGAAAGAGCCCGTGTGTGTGTGTGTGTGTGTGTGGTTATACATATCAGACCCTCATAAGTGCTTAGAGGGAATAAACATTCACTGATGTACAGCGGCGCTCTCTCTCTCTTCCTCTCGCCCTTCTTTTTTCTGCCTTTTCTTACATAGATACACAAACAAACATGCACACGTGCAGTTGATAAAAATAGCAACAGATTATGAATTCCATTTTAAGCATTTGGGGTTTCTGTTTGGAGATTTTGCCAGCATTTCGCTAAAAATCGAATGGCACAACTGCGCAAAGCTATGAAAACCAATAGTGATTATTAAACCATCATGCTATTATATTAATTACAGCTTTTTAATGATTTACAACAGGCATACAGATATCTTGTGGCAAGTATGTTACCTCAACATATGTACACTGTAAATAAAACAAAGATGATTTAAGTACTTTACAATAAGGTGTCACTTGTTAGCATTAGTTAATGTATTAACTAACATGAATGAACAATGAACAATACATTTATTACTCTATTATTAATCTTTTTTGAATGTTAGTTAATGAAATACTGTTGCTCGTTGTTTGTTCATGTTAGTTCACAGAGCATTAACCACTGTTAACAAACACAACTTGCTATTTTAATAATGCATTAGTAAATGCTGAAATTAATACGAACTAAGATTATTAAATGCTAATGAAGTATTGTTCATTCTTAATTCATGTTAACTATTGTAGTTAACTAATGTTAACTAATGAACCTTATTGTAAAGTGTTAACCAGTATGCTTTACAAGAAAATATGATTTTAAGAAAATTAGTCTTTCTACTTACAATTTCACATTTAATAAGGTGTTGTTTGTTGATTCTTTGCAATTATTTGTGATATTTACTAGCAATTTATGATTAAAAAGTATTTCTACACCTAATTTTTCTCAGTGTAGGTTACTTTGAGTTTAAGGTCTATAATAAGGTTGGGATGCACCGAAATGAAAATTCTTAGCCGAAACCGAACAAAATAAAACATTGGGCCGAAGCCCGAACACTGTTTTCCGTGTTTTTTCCCCCCATGTATTTTGCCAATTTTTTTCACCATTGCATATTTTTTTTATATATATATAAATTTTCTTCTTCTTCTGGAAAACAATGCCAAGATCGGACTAATTAATTAAATTCTTAAGACTAAATTCTTTAAATTCTTTAATATATGTATATATATATATATATATGGATTTTTTATTTATTTATTTTTCTTCTTTGCCAAGATCGGACTAATTACTGATTTGTTTACAATTTTCAATTAATTAAATTCTTAAGACTACATTCTTTAATGTTACAAAGAATGTAAAATAATTTAAGAATGCAAATTATGATCATTTGCATTCTTAAATAATTTTTTTATGTATTTACATTTATGCACTTGATAGATGCAACGCTTTACAATTTTTTAGTTCATGCATTTTCATGATCATGCATCGCTAGCACCTACAGGAATTTATAATAGTTCATTAATAGTTCAGGCTTTCCATGAATGTGCAATTAAATCGTTGCAACAAGTGAAAATGCAATACTCTAATATTATGTGTGCATGCTTGGGCATTAAACCGAAACTTGATCCTGGGCCTAAACGAGACCCTGTGATCTGACCCGACCAGTACTGTCAAATTTGCCTTTTTTAGTTTCATTTTGTGTCTGTAGACCCAGATGCACGCATTCTCACAGCTCAGACTCGAAAATGCAGAGTGTGTGAGTGTATGCAGAATGAGTTACATTAAATTAAAAATAAACATTTATAATATTATTTTCAAGAATTACAAGAATGCAGACTAGAAATTTGAGAAGTCTTAGACATTTGCAACTTTAAAAGTTTTGTGGATTAGAAGAGGTTCTGTATATAACAATGCAAGTTCCAAATAGCTTTCTCAATCTAATTCAGTGGTGTAAGAAACCTAGCACCCATACCCGCAGCTGTAGAGCCGTTGCACTCAATAGGACACGTGAAACGTGTTCAAACATTCCCATATTGTTTAATGTGAACTGGATTTACTGGTTTTGGAATAGCTCCAGGTACAATTTCCCTGTTTTCTGGTCTAGAATCCACTTTGTGTTCCTAAACAACGTTTAAAGCTGGACTTGATTATCTTATCTTATCTTATCTTATCTTATCTTATCTTATCTTATCTTATCTGTGGTACTGAACATTTATCTTATCTTATCTTATCTTATCTTATCTTATCTTATCTTATCTTATCTTATCTTATCTTATCTTATCTTATCTTATCTTATCTTATCTTATCTTATCTTATCTTATCTTATCTTATCTACTGAACATTCTCCAGACTCTGAAAAACCACTGAAAAACTCTGATAAATCGGATTAACAGTGTGAGAGATGTTATTTTCAGCATAAGAGCAACCAAGAGAGATTAAATAAAAAAAAATGTAAATAAACACACACAACTTCAAAAGAACTATTGTAAAATGGATTACTTTATCTCTGATATCTAATTGGTTAAGCCAGGCTTATATGTATGTATGCATTTGTGTGTGAATGTTTTTATATATTTAAGTCTGGCAAATATATATATATATATATATATATATATATATAGTATTTCTAGAGTGACCAAAAGCAATTCCTGTTATATAAAATTATTATATAAAATAACTGTATTCTAACTATATTAAATTTTGTTATAATATACTATAATGGCTAAACAAATACAAAAATAAACACAAGTTCAAAACTACTATAATAAAACTGATAATTTTATCTTTGAAAAATGTACATTCACATGAATATATACACACACTTTAATTGAAATTCATTTGATAAAAGTTCCTTTTAAAAATTGATTAAAAATGAATCAATATACTTTTATTGTATATGTTTTTACAGTATTATGAATTTGATATTTAATATATCAAATTATAAAATAAATATATAATAATTTGTTTTTGTTTGTATGTGTAATTATATATTTGTTTTATACTTTTAAACAAATAAAATGTCAAAAGATGACAAAGATCAAAGTATCTTGCTTAGTTCTTTATGCAATCTTATCCAAAAATTAGTTTGTTTAGTCACGTGCCATTTTTAGTTTTGATCGAGAGCTAGTCTGTGTTTTACAGTATATTTAGTTCTGCCTAAATCCACCTGTGGAATTTGTTTGGATTGTTCTTCTTCGACCTTTGTGTCAACACTGATCCTGTATACAACGTTCTGTACGTGCAAAACAGCACAAGACGGAGGTGGGGACTCGCCGTGCACATCTTGTCAATACTGTATGTATCCTTGATGACAGATAGTCACACAAACACCTCCTCAGCTCGCCTGATGCTGCTGAAGAGCTCTTTTTGTAGTCATGAGATGCATAGTCACTGTCTTTTTAGAGTGCTCACAGTAAAATAAAAATAGTTTCGGTTGATTCTCAGGAGGAGGACTTAATGAGGTTTACTACAGCCAAACAGACATCTGCCCTCTTGAGGTGAACGTTGGAAATACATGGGCATGTTTGGTGGAGTGTACATACAGTATATAGGGATGCATGGGTTTTATTTACACGTTGCACGTTGATACTGAAGAAGCGTCTGCAGCTGACAGGTCATTCAGTGTGTTTATTATGAGTGGCGATCTAGTGCTGGAATTTGTGGTTTGTAATGTTTTACTGAGCAGTTTTGGAGGCTGTTATCAGTTTTTAAAAGCAACAGTGAGTTCGCAGACAGTGTTCTTGTTCCACCCTGTTGTTTTCCATATATCGCTGTCTGTTCTAATGAAACCACAAAACAAAACGTAAAGAAATGTCACCAATTTTTTTTTAAATGATGATGAAAGCAGTCAGTGTCACCCTAGATTTAATTTGTAATATTAAAGATTATATAATCATGTAAATATGAGAGACTTTTATTAGATGATCACTAATTGGCATTAAATACTTAATGGTAAATATTTAATATATTTAATTCCACTGAATATAATTTTGTATTGTTTTTTTTTTTCTGTGGTCTGTGGCATGTATTAAACCCAGAGTATTATTTTAAATATTTTTGAAAGTCTCTCTCTCATGCTCACCAAAACCTTTATTTTTTTTCAAATCCGAAATAAATGAAAAACAGTAATATTGTGAAATATTATTGCAATTCAAAATAGTAAAAATATTTTCAAATAATATTGATAATAATTATTATGTTATAATATAATTATTGTTTTTATTAAATTGTTTTTTGTTTTTAATTTTTGAAAAGATTGTTATTAAATGAATACATTATTTCATTAAATTATTATTATTATTAAAATATAAAAAAAAAAATGTTTTCAAATATGATCTATTTTAACTCATTTTAAAATGTAATTTATTCCTGTGATCAAAGCTGAATTTTCAGCACCATCACTCCAGTCTCCAGTGTCACATTATCCTTCAGAAATCATTCTGATATACTGATTTGCTGCTCGAGAAACATTTCATTATCAGTGATGAAAACAGTTGTGCTGCTTCATATTTTTGTGGAAGCCATGAGTCATTTTTATTTTCAAGATTCTTTGATGAACCGAAAGTTCAAAAGAACAGCATGTATTTGAAATGGAAATCTTTTGTAACATTTTTGTAACACGTCTTTGTTGAATAAAAGTATTCTTTCATATATATTATGACTAGACTATAATATGTTAAAAGTAATGACCTGATAATTAGTACATTATACTTTATCTGCATTTTCACATCTAAACAAAATGCTTCAATATCACACAAAGATGAAAAGCAAGAGTGGAGTTTTTTTTTTTTTTTGGCAATGTCGTTGCAGATTGTCTTGTTGTCACAAGCTTGTGGGATGAGTCTATATTTGTCTGCGTTAGTGCTGATGGCACTAATCACATGATGGTCACAGAGTGTTGGGCTAATATTCTGCCTTTCTGCAGGGAAGTAAGAGAAAGATATGGGCTTGTTATCTAACATACTTCAGCTGTGTACTTGCTGTAGGCAATGCTTTCAGGGGTTCAGTTCTCTCAGTTCAGGTCCAATGAGGAGATCAGGTCCTGTGAATATATTTGATACAGCAACAGGTATATCTAGACCTTGTCGGTTCTTCGTTGATAGTTTCTGCCATTTTAATGATGAAAGTACCAAAGTCACACTTGAGACACAATGAACAGTGTTTTTGAAGGTGAATTTTAGCTGAAAGTTCCTTGGTGTTTGTATGTCGTGTTTTTTTGTCTTTTGAAAGAAATACTTTGATTCAGTAAGGATGCATTAAATTGATCAAAGGTGACAATAAATACTTATACATTGTTGCAAATAATGTTTATTCCATGAATTTTATATTCATCAAGGAATCCTAAATGTAGCCTTGGTAAATGTAAGAGACAATTTACCGAACTATTGAACAGTATTGTAATGACATATATAGTACAATTATATATTGTCCAAAACATAAATACTGTAGTTTGGTCATGAATAAAATAAACCCCTAAATGTGTAAAATGATTAGCTTTTTCTTCATGCTTTTCTTCATTTGTGTCTTTCCAGCTTTCTTGACCGGATTGATGCAGTAAGACAAAGCGACTATACTCCAACAGACCAGGTACTTTTTCAGCTTTTTCTAGATGAGAAACTGCATGCGAGACGGCTAGTTTCCAGAAATGAACACACTTTTTCTCAATCTTCCTTCTTTCAGGACTTGCTTCGCTGCAGAGTGTTAACATCAGGGATTTTTGAGACGCGATTTCAGGTGGACAAAGTCAACTTTCAGTGAGTCCACTTCTGAGAAACGTATTAAAAGCTTGTGCAGTGGATATTACCGCACATCATGTCTTCATATGTCCACTAGAGGGACACATTTCTCATCCTACAACCTCGTGTCTGTGTTCTTCTCTTTCAGTATGTTTGACGTGGGAGGTCAGAGAGACGAAAGGAAAAAGTGGATTCAGTGTTTTAATGGTAAACTTGAGTGTGTGTGAATGAACGCTTGTGAGACGCATGCATGTTAAATAAGTTTGGTCTTCAACAATTTCATTTTATATACTGTCATGTTATATATATTCTGTCATGATTTATTCACCCTCATGTTGTTCCAAACCTGTGTGAGTTTCTTTCTTATGTTGAGCACAAAAGAAGGTATTTTGAAGAATGTTGGTAACCAGAGAGTTGACGGTAGCCATTGACTTCCATAATATTCTTTCTGTACTCTAGCTACCGTCAACCGTTGTTCAAAATACCTTTTTTTTGTGAGTAAGAAAGAAACAATGACAGGCTTAGAACGATTTTAGGGTGAAAAAAATAACAGATTTTTCATTTTTTTGGATGAACTATCTCTTTATACATTTAAACATCAGAAAATAATAAAACACCTGCTGATCACACATGTGGTGCTGATTTGCAGACGTCACAGCGATCATCTTTGTGGTAGCGAGCAGCAGCTATAACATGGTCTTAAGGGAAGACAACAACACGAACAGGCTACGGGAAGCACTTGCTCTTTTTCGCAGTATCTGGAACAACAGGTGATGCCTTTGTTTTCTTATTCGTAATGTATAACTTGCTTATAAGTGTAAGTGCAGGCTTTACTGACCCCCGTCTCTGTGTGTCTCTTTATTTCTTCTTTTCACAGATGGTTACGGACCATTTCTGTCATATTGTTCCTAAACAAACAAGACATGCTGGCAGAGAAAGGATTAGCTGGGAAATCCAAAATTGAAGATTATTTCCCTGAATATACTTCTTACACCTTACCTGATAAAGGTTAGACTTTTCACCCACTGATCAAAACCCAGTAGTTCTCAAATACTGTAGTACTAAAGTTTTAGTTGTTAGTTGGCAAATAATGGACATGATCCATTTTTTGGTTAAAGGAAATATGAAAATACTGTCATGAAAAGGTGCACAAGCTCAATAAATGTATCAATCATAAAAGTAGTCCATATGACTTGTGCACTATATTTGTGTGAGTTGAACTGGAGATTCAGATCTGTCAAATTCAAAATCATTTGGTATTGTGAACTGGATTCATGTGCAGGTCAGTGTCAGCTTCTTTGTATGTTCATCTGTCGAGTCTTTTTTTCTATCTTTCAGTAACTCCTGAACCCGGTGAAGACCCCAGAGTGACGAGAGCCAAGTATTTCATTCGTGACGAGTTTTTGGTTAGTATTTTCATTTTGTAATACACCGATGAAACACTGCAACTATTGCAGTCAGATTTTAGACTGTTGTGATTTTCCCTTTCTATTATGATGGGCAGTTTGTAGACGACTAGATATTGACCAATGTTTGATTTTGCCAACATTTTTGACCAATATTTACTCTTTCTATTTAAATAAGTAAACCAATAATTGGCGCCATCCTGTGGCTCTCTAAAGAATAAATATTTGCCATGTACTTTCATTTTCAGCAATCATTTTTTAGTGTATATATTATATGTATGAGAACACAGGGTTAAATTGTTCAATTATTGAAATATTTAAGATTTATTAATCACAATGATTACACTAGTTACAGTATATATTTAGTTTTAAGTAAAATCAGCAAAGACAGTGCAAAAGAAAGATTGTTGTCTTGCCATTATTTCATGTACCTTTTTAACTCCTTACACTCAATTCAGACTTTAAAGTCTCACTAAATATAATTTCGCTGGAGATTCGTCGGAATATTGGCTGGTTGTTTTCTTCAAGACACTAATTTAAATCTTGTTTAGCCTTTTAAAAAAGCATTTTTTTCCACTTCTGTCTGAAGTGTTAAGTTCATAGCACATTTCCAGAAGAATCCATTTAAGATATATATATATTTAGTTTCTTAAATTTTAACTACAAAAAATAGGTGATTAATCATGAAAAACTGGTTGTAATCATTTGAAATCCCTAATTTTCACCCTGTCTTTTCGCAGCGGATCAGTACAGAAAGCGGAGATGGCCGTCACTACTGTTACCCCCATTTCACATGTGCAGTGGACACGGAAAACATCCGCCGGGTCTTCAACGACTGCCGAGACATCATCCAGAGAATGCACCTGCGGCAGTACGAACTCTTGTGATCTCACTTCAGCTCTTTACAAACGTGTCTCCAAACTCCCCCTGCCCTCATAACTCACGAGGCCAAAACCGCAGACGAATATACTACTGACGTTTGGCACACCACCCTTCGGTTTTTAGGTGTTTTATTTTAACTCATGATTCGGAGCGGAGAGGCTCGCTGGATTTTTCCCCCCACGTTTTTATTCGAATCGCCTTTATTTTTGCCATTCCATGAAGCCTCTGGCTACCTCCTTATTTTTTATTCAAATAAAAAATGATATCGTCGTGTGTATATATATATATATATGTATACGTGCTGGCGCCTGGCAGATTATGAAGATCGCATCACCTTGTGACCTCCAGGAGTCCTAGTCTCGCACCCCGAACCTTGATCTTCTGGCCTACAGGGCTCTCTGCTGCTCTTTCTGTTTCCGAACACTGAAGATCGCCCGCGGACTGAGGCGGGGACGGGGAGGCGGGCCGGGGGTTGTCGAACACTGGGCAAGCGAAGTGAAGTAATGCACTTTTCCATCAGGTTTTGACTGACGGTTTTCTTTACGAAGATGGACACACAATGTAGCATCAAATCATGAATTCATGTCCCACTTAAGGCTGCGGACAGGTCAGAGAATGGCGGGGATGACCACGCCCCTTTTTATGTGAAAGAGGCGGAGCCTTTGAAACAAGGAGGAGGGGCTCTGTGAAGAGGTGGAGCCTCTGAAATGAGGAAGAGGAGGGGCTATGGGAACATTGCTAAGGCCTCGGTTTGGTTTTGGGAACATGACGGCGAAACATCCTCGAAAAGAAACGCCCCATTTCTAATTTTAGTTTCTTAACTTGTACAGACTGTGCAAAGGTGATTTTTTTTTTTCCCCTTTCATGTACAGACTATAAAATGTTATATTATTTTGTACAACTTTATTGAAAGAGAGTAAAAAATCTACTTGTAGATCTTTGTGCCTTGATTATGGCTGTACCTGTAAATGAAGCTGATACATATGTTTTTGACTGCGCTGTACAGCTTGATGTCACCCCTGTCGGCAGAAGGGACTGTGGATGGGGACCTACTCTGTAGAGTTTAGTTTCTTTTTTTCAGTTATTTGTTTGTTTTTCTGCTTTGTTTATATAAAAAGAGAAAAAGTTCTTTATTAAAAAAAAAATAAATATAGGAAAGAAAAATCTTAACCTGTATACATTATGCAAATTGACCCCCTTACCTGCGGTTATGATCGGACGAAACAGCGCCATGCCTTTCTTTCTCGTTTTGCGTTTTGTTTTCCGTTTCATTTCAATTCTCAGCTTTAAAAACAGAAAAATTGAAAGAAAAAAAAAAAGTTGGAAGTGTCCAAAATCACAACCTGGTGTTGTTTTCAAAGACCTTTTTGGATATGAAGTATGTTTGAGATATATATCCACGTTTGTGTCTGTGAGTGCGTGTGTGTTCACGTACAGGAGACAAACATTGAGCCACAGACGCATGACATTTGTATGTGTTTTGTGAGAGTGTGTGTGCAAGAGTGCATTGTGTGCACTCTTTTATAAATGTGCGTACATGTAAATTTATAGGTCTATATAAATATATATGTACAATTCTACATGTTTAATTATGTGTGTTGGCGTATACATACTTTAGTATGTATACAGTGAAGATGTGTACTTACACACATAGGTAAGCATGTCTAGAGTGAAATGAATAAATGAGAGTGCAATATTAAAAGCAACTGTGCGTGTCCGACGATTTTCACCATACTCCATACAAACTGAAAGTTTTTTTTTTTTTTACTATCATTTCTTTAATATCAATGTTATGTGATATCAGTTTATAATTGGACAGAAGTCTGATTTATAATACACACACCCAAATATACTCTTATTTTGTAAAGCAGAACTTCAAGACGTACATTTTTATATTTATTCAAGTTTTTTTTTTCTTTTATCTGCTGAACACCCTTGGCAGTCCTAATTTATTTTGCTTTTACCAAAACTTTTCAAACCATGTGATCCACAAAACAATACAAATTATGTTACACATGCAAATTTGTGTTTGTATTTAAAGTTCAAACACATTTAATATATATATATATATATATATATATATATATATATATTTGTATTACTCTTTACTCCAGTAAATCGCAAATCTTTTTAAATCTGTAAATACTATGTGCTTAAAGTCATGTTGCACAAGAAATACTTTTTAAAATAAATCTTCTAAAGTCATTAAATAGATTTTGTGTTATGGTTCTTAAGTCTTAAGATCTCCCACAGCTATTCCTTTGTCAGTCTACAAAACCCCATACATTCACATTGCAACACTAAAATGCTGACCACATTGAATAGTCTTCAGTGCAGGATGACATATTCAAGATTTCTGATACATTAACATAGACCTCAGATTCAACAAGCCACAGTGTATTACACCAAAAAAACAACTCATGCAATCAACTTGACAGAAAAAGTTGATTTGGCTTTTTAGATGTTGAAAAACACTCAAATATATATATGTATGTATTGCTCAGGTACATTAATTCCATACAGCACATAAATTACATTCAGATAAAATCTTATTTTTGGAGTCCAAATTTGGATTTCTTGACATACACAAACACCCTCTTATTTCTTTAAGTGTTTCTTAGAACAGGGATTCTCCGAAGGTCCAATTTACTACAGAGTGTAGGTCCTACTCAAATCCAACACACCTGAACAAGCAAATCAAGGTCTTTCTAGAAAGTTACAGAAGGGAGTTTGATCAAGGTTGGAGCTAAAGGTTGAGAACCTCTGCTTTAGACCAATGGATTAGACCAACGGTGTCCAAATTTGCTCCTGAAGGGACACTTGTCCTGCAGAGTTTAGCTCCAACCCTAATTAAACACACCTGAACCTGATATTTAAGGTCTTCAGACTTACTAGAACAGGGGTGTCCAATCCTGCTCCTGGAGGGCTGGTGTCCTGCAAAGTTTAGCTTCAACCCCAATAAACACGCCTTAAGCAGCTAATCAGGCTCTTACTAGGCATACTAGAAACTTCAAGCAGGTGTGTTGATGCAAGTTGGAGCTAAACTCTGCAGGACACCGGCCCTCCAGGACCGAGTTTGGACACCCCTGTACTAGAAACTTCCAGGCAACTGTGTTGGAGCTGGTAGAAGCTAAACTCTGCAGGACGTTGGTCCTCCAGGGCCAGGACTGGACACCCCTGCTTTAGACGAAAGACAGCTTTACTGTCCATATTTGCACATTCATGTTGTATCAGACTTGCCGTTCCGAAGCACAGCTGCACATTTGCTCACAGGAACTCAAGAAATTAGAAAGTCTTCATTAGGTCATTGAGTTTGGCAAGCGAATCCTTTGCCTCAACATGGAATGATCTGCTGTTAAAAGAAGCTTCACTATTGAATTACACTCCCAGATCGCAAGATTTTACAGAAGCGTTCCCATTTAAGACTAGGCCTTACTTGTATGTTCCTGATTTTGCATGCTAGAAACAAGCATCAGAGAATCTATCCTGAGTGGTTTCCTCTCAGTTACTGCTTTTCAAATGGCTTCTTCTTGCTGATCTGAAGAGTGACCTGTCCGGTTGGCGTGTAGCTGCGGGTTTGTGCGGCAACCTGTGTTTTGAAGCTCTGCAGACCTCCTTCCTTTCCTCTCTGGACCTCGGACCAGTACGTCGGCTGGACTTCAAGCCTCGCAAAGCTACTGGTATGGCGTGAATAGTTGGATGAAGGTTGTCCCGTCACATGAATAGGTATGGTCTTCTCTCGCCTTGCCTGAGAGCTGCCGCTCGCCGATGAACCTGGACTAAACATGCTGGAAATGTGATCCTTGAAGGACCCAAAGAATCCCATGCGAGGCTTTGCTGGTGGCACCGGACGTACCACGTTCAACACAATGGGTTTGCCAACGACAGGCTCGTTAATTTCTCTCTGCAACACCGAGATCTCACTTGGTTTCTCGACGAGGACATGCTGGTCTGTACCGCTGCCAAATGTTTCCCCTTCCTGAGGGACGTAGTCCTCGAGATCTTCAAGAGTAAGAACTCGATTCCCATCAGTCAGCATTTTGCGGTCTTGAGCATCAAGTTCGTCATCTTCAGGTTCCACAACAATAGTTCCTTCATCATCTCCATCAGAGACACATGGGTCATCAATTTCTCCTGAGTATGTTGTCATATTGTCGACCTCTGAAGGTACTTCAGACACATTCTGTGCAATTTCCTCTTCATCCGTACCAGAAGAACCTTGCAGAGCCATTGCGGCACCCATTGCCTCCTCGAGTAACTTGTTGTTGGAGTTATTAGTGTTTGGATTGCCAGGTGGTGAGAACTTGCTGGGGGAAACGCCTCTTCTTCTTGGTAACTTGGGTGATTTGTTCACTTTATACTCGATTATCTCTTCGACTTCTACCCATCTTGGGTTCCTGGCCGTGGCACCCTCCGGCTCTGGAACGTACAGTGTCGGTACAGTCTTCCTGGCCAGGGTTCGTCTCTGTCTGGGCGGTTCGGGTGTGGACGTCTCTGAGCGGTGAGCTCCCATGGGCGATGGTCGTGGGGATGCATGCCGTTTCATACGGGTGTTCTTCACTACTGTGGTGATGGTCTCCTCACTTGAAGAGGAAAAAGCACATTAGAAGCACATTAAAAGCACCAGCTTCAGGTTGGTAAGTTTTTGAAAGAAGTCTCTTATGCTCACCAAGGCTGCATTTATTTGATCAAAAATACTGTAAAAACAGTAATGTGAAATATTATGATTAAAATAATTTTCTATGTTAATGTATATTAATATTTTATGTATTTCTGTAATAGAAAGACGAATTTTCAGCATCATTACTCCAGTCTTCAGTGTCACATAATCCTTCAGAAATCATTGCTCTGCTTAGTATTTTTCTGGAAACTAATATATTTTTTCAGGATTCTGCGATGAATAGAAAGTTCAAACGAACAGCATTTAATTAAAAATATTGTGTAACAATGTAAGTGCCTTACTGTCACTTTTGATCAATGTAATGCGTCCTTACTGAATAAAATTATTAACTTTTGAATAGTAGTGTATTCAATTTGTGCTTAGGTGTGTGTGTGTATATGAGACTTACATAATTATGGTTTTCTTCGGTATTTTCGTCTCTTGTTCCGTTACTAGTTGAAAAAACAATAAAAATGGTAAAAATTGTAACATCTTTTAAAAACATCAAATTATTTTCAGTTAACAAATTTCAGTCAAAGAGGTACAAACATGATGCTCAAATATGAAAAATACATTCCTAAATTCTAAATATAAGTGAATGCACTTTACAAAATATACTTTTCTTATTTTCTGGACCTGATAATTTCTAAAACCATCTTACATTAAAACCAATAAATAGTGTATCAGGATGTGTACTTTTTTTAATTTAATGCATTTTTAGTTTTCAGTAAGTAATGTCATAACCAGTGTTGGGGAAAGTTACTTTTAAAAGTAATGCATTACAATATTGCGTTACTTCCTAAAAAAGTAACGAATTACGTTACTTAGTTACTTTTTATTGAATGTAATGCGCTACTTTACTAGTTACTGAAAAAAAGTAATCTGATTATGTAACTCGCGTTACCCCCAACACTGGTCATAACAGATGCCACCCAGTTAAAAATCATTCCCATATATGTATTGACAGGCATCTCTTTTACCTTCTATACTGATGGCCTGATCTGCTCTACGTTCTCCCGCCATTGCCACAGCAGGAGTGATCAGCTGTGCCGCACACCTGGCACTGCCCAGACGGTTTGACAGCTGCAAATGAATAATATGATGATAAGGCTTATTTCCTTAGGGTTGGAGTAAAGTAAGAACTGAAAGGACTAATGTAACAATCTCCATACCTCACACTCATAGTGTCCAAGGTCTCGTTCTCCAGGGTTCTTGACAACTAGAACCAACACTCCACTGCGCGGTTCACTGTATGTTTGAAGCTTCTCCAGGTCTGTCAGTAGTTTACCATCCTTAAACCATCTGTCCAGGGAAATGGCATAGTTTAACATTAACTCAATTCATTATGAGTTAAAACTGTTGGGTTGTTGGAAGTTATTTATGGAATGCATTGATTTGAATATTATAATATGAATCACCCAGATCTTCTGGGCCATTTTGACTCATTATTTAAACATGGAAATAACATAAATGATAGTGTAAATGGAGTGACTACCTTATCTTGGGACTCGGTGCGCTCTGGATGGTGCAGGTGAACTGTGCATCTTCTCCTGGATAAAGGGTGGCATTCCGGATCTTATTCACAAAACGTGGAGGTACTGCAAAAGGTTAAATAAAAATGAGCAGGAATGAAATGGAGTAAAATCAGCTTTACTAAGTTGGAAACATCAGGTTGCTCACTCACCTTGCACAGTGATTTTGCCTAGTGTGCTGGCATTGCCCGCAGAGCTGGTGGCGAAGCACATGTATTGTCCTGAGTCGTCTGCTGTCATGTTGTCCAAAATGAGTGTGCAAGAGCCGTCTGGGTCCTCAATGATGATGTGATGAGGATCCGCTTCCACGGCACGCCCGTCTGTTTGTGAAACAGATGGATGAATTACTTTACTTCTAAGAAGACATCAAGAAGGGAAACACCTAAGATTTGGTTCCTTACCTTTGTACCAGGTGACCTGTGGTTTGGGGGCACCAGTGACCTTGCAGGCGAGCTTTACTGTCTGTCCGAGCTCTGCTGTACAGTCTGTCAACACCGCGTCAAAATCTGGAGGGCCTGTAACATAAGTAAAATGCTAAATATTAGGACTAGGGTTTATTTTTATTGTAGTATTTAAGAACATGACATTGTATTTAGGAGAACTGATATCTCTTAAAGGGATAGCTCACCCAAAAATGAAAATTCTGGCATTAATTACCCTCATGTTGTTCCAAACCCATAAGACCTTCGTTCATCTTCGGAACACAAATTAAGAAATTTTGATGGAATCTGAGAGCTCTCTGACCCTCCACAGACAGCAAGGATACTACCGCGATCAACGCACAGAAACGTAGCAAGGACATCGGTAAAATAATCCATGTGACATCAGGGGTTCAACCGTAATTTTACAAAGCTACGAGAATACTTTTTGTGCGCAAAGAAAACAATAATAACATAACTTATTCAACAATTCTTCTCCCCGAGTTACCGTCTTTCGCCATTTTGGAAAGTACCCCAGAACATAATCAGCATTGTTTACGTTCAGCACACGCGTGCTGTTTTTGTGTTCTGAAGATGAACGAAGGTTTTACGGGTTTGTAACGACATGAGGGTGAGTAATTAATGACAGAATTTTCATTTTTGGGTGAACTAACCCTTTAAAGGCACAATATGTAATTTTTGCCGCTAGAGGGCACGTATTCAAAATAAACAAATAGACAAAGGAGTAGTTTGATGACGCCGTGACTGAGTGTGGAATCATGGGAGTTGTCGTCCTCATCCCCACAGCCGATGCAATCCAACGGGACTCGGGCAGAAATCATGTTCATGGATGAGCTAATGATTTATTAACGTAGTAGAATGAAGCAGGGTGAGGCTGAACATTGGCAGGCGACAAAATGACACTATGGACACGGTCCGTGTCACTAGTTAAAATTGCTTATTTCTCTGGATTTAAACATTCTTCGAAACATTTGGGATAATGTAAGTAGACAAGTCAGCAAAATATATAACACTGTTCAAGTGGTTTTTGGATATTTTAATAAAAAAATCTTACATATTGTGCCTTTAAGTGGAGTGTGTTTTCTCTTTTTGCCTCTTGCTGCAGGAATGACGTATTTTTGTAGGCCAAAACCCATAAACAGCAGCATTTTTTAAATGTTTTTTTGGTTAAATGCCTGAAATAAGCTCAAGATATTTTCACATTTTATTCTATGACATAAAATACATCAGTAATTAAAAAAGTGATTTTTTTTTGTAAAGCTTTTACTGATCTTTAAAAAGGCAGTTGTGGCTAAATGGGACTACAGAAGGAGTTGAGGACATTAATCACACCAGACAGGTAAATTCATCTACACACTAGTCCACTTTTACAGCTTCACTGTGTTTATTATCATGCTATTGCAAACTATTCTAACTCAGACTTTCCAACATACAGATTTTAAACAAAGTTTAAAAGAGTTATTGGAAGCACAGTGGTGTTGTTCATTTTTAGCTTAACATTTTATTTTGGCAATTGTATTAGGCCAAATACAATTGCCAAAATAAAAACGTATTAATTTATGATAATAATCATGATGAACAAAATGTGTAAGATTCATAAACTTTTGTTGGTCCCAGAGCTTATTTTCTGCAATAATCCAGTTAGCAATGGAAAAATCCTTTTGGGTTTTTGTCAAGGGAACCAGGCTGATGCTAACATGCTATATCATGCTAATGCTGGAGACTTACTCCATGCTGGCATGCTGTAGCGCTGCTGAAGGTCACGGAGGTCGCGGAGCCATGAGTTCTTGATGACAACAGTCCGTGCCTGCAACGTGTATTTTCTCACGGAGTCCTCGCGCTCATGCCAGATCTCAAACGCTCTTTCATCACCCTCCACTGTCTCATTCACATCAATGTTTGTAAGCTAAAGAAAAAACACTATTTTATAATGCATTAGATTTTTATAAACAATATTATCATATAAGTGAAGCTATGTGGCAAACCAGTAATTAAGAAATCCCAGTGAAGACATTATTTGGCCATTTTAAATGATCAGCATTGGCCTTAGTACATTTTGTGTTAAATACAGTATGTGCATCACTTAATTTCTGTCATTTAAAAGCTTCTGCAAAGCTCCAACCTTCATCATACTCTTGAACACATATGCTTGGGTGTCTGTGTTCGTGTCTCTCTTCTGTTTGCAGATGACCACATGGTTTTTGAAGAGGAAAACGTGGCGGTGGTGACCTCTGGAAGATGTTCGAATTCCAGGAGCTCCTTCCCAAACAGTGAAGGGCCCCTGTAGAAAAATTCAGAACTTCATTTTACACTGTAATTTTAAAAGTTTTTAAATTTACTACAAATAGGTGAAACAGGTAAGACCTTAAATGGTGACATTTGAGTTAGGGATTGTACCTGTCTAATAGGTTCTCCCAGTGCCTCCAGATTGGCGGGGTAGTTCTCTATGAGAGAGACATGGTGTGTGTTTTCTGAGCGCTGGGAGAGGGATGACACCATGGCATAGGCCTGCTCCAACAAACAGCAGTTTTGACCGTTCCTCGCCTTGTTCCGGATCAGTTCCTAGATTAAAATCATGTGAAATTTGGAAATGTGTTGGTCACTTTCAAAAGTTAGTGAAAAGTTGTATCACATAATCCATAACACAATTTCTAAGCACATATTTATGTAAATATTTATTTGAAAGTGGAGATTGCCTACACCTAGACCTTGAATTGTGGTATTTATTATTATTTATTACCTTCAGTAAAGCTCTGTACTTCTGAATTCTCTCCGGTGGTCTCTGAAGGTAAGCGTTGATGCTTAGCACTGGACCCTCTGAGGGGTCAACATTTGCCAACTCCGAGACTGTATAATCCTAATGAAAAAATACATGAAACATGTTATGTTCTGTGTCTGAGTACCAAATTCTTTCAGTTTAAAGTAGTGCTGTCAAACGATTAATCACGATTAATCACATCCAAAATAAAAGTTTTTGTTTACATAATATGTGTGTGTACTGTGTATATTTATTATGTATATATAAATACACACACATACAGTATATATTTTGAAAATATTTCCATGTATATATTTATATTCATATAATTCATATTATATGCAAATATTTTAAATGTATAAACATAACATTTTTCTTAAATATATAAATGCATGTGTGTGTGTATTTATATATACATAATAAATATACACAGTACACACACATATTATGTAAACAAAAACTTTTATTTTGGATGCGATTAATCGCCATTAATCGTTTGACAGCACTAGACTTTAAAGACAAAAAAGATCAAATGTCGTTTTTTTCTAATGCAAATTTTATGCCCCCTGAAAACCAAAACTATACGTTCAATATTTTGTAAACCCACCTTGAAATATTGGTGCACTTCTTTCTCACTGATAACGGACTCAGCTTGCAATTGTCCAATGAGGTACTGCAAATATTTCTCAAACCCTTCAGAGTTTCTCAGGAAATGCATGGCAATGTCATCATCCGTGTCACAGTCACGCAGACCAGGCAGCAAAGTACTGAAAAACATTCAACCTCATTATGCATTTCGCTGTTGTCAGATTCCATATGTCAAGACTAACACATAAATGAAAACAATCCTTATACTCCTTAAAAATGAAAATAGTTGATGCAGAGTTGTAGAATTAACCATAATATTTGATTGTCTGAACTCTGTACCTGCTGTGGAAGGATTTCAAATCATTGATATTACGGAAGATGGTTTCCTTCTGGCTGGTGATTTCAGATGGTGTGCTCTCTTCATCCACACGCTTCAGATGGTGTGATGTGAAGAACTCTATCTCCTTCAGAAACTCAGTTTCTGTGCTAATCAGCTCCTGGACGAGTAGACTAGATACAAGTGAAACCCAGGTAGAATTACTAAAGTAGTACAAAATAAAATGCACATTGCACTTTTAATAAAATGTCCAAATTTACCAGAGTTTTTTCTTGTACTCTGTCTCTGTGACTTCTTCTCTGGTGGTCTCTGGGAGGTCTGCAACTTCTGCAGACAGCTACAACACAACCATTCCATCATCAGTGAGAAATTATAAGATGCACAAGCAAATGCACAAATGTTTAAAATCAATATTTCACCACTATATGACCAGTTATCCATTTTGAATGATCCTAAACTGACCTTCAGTCTTTTGTCGAGATATGCAGGCGAGACCCATCCCTGGCGAGATGGATTGGATTTGGTGGGCTTGGTGCGGACCAGCCATTTAAGTGGGTGGGCAGAATCCAGAACCTCCACATACTGACCCTCTTTCAGAGCGATGACATCTTTGCTGACTCCCATGGGGTTGTAGTCAGCGATCACCACATAGATATCAAACATCTGCACAGATTCATTGAGACAACAGAGCATTTGGAAAAGGTGACTTGCCCTCTTCACCCTTTAGAATATGAGAAAGCTCTGGATTCTGCTTTTAAATATCCTTCTGTGAACTGAAGATTAACCAGATGCTTAACTTACCTAAAACATAATATGAACTACAGAATTATGATACTAACATTACACGTCTATTTATTTTCAATAACTGGTAAATGAATGTATTAAAAAATTGTCTGAAAATTCTTATGTGAACAGAATAGCAACAGGTTTGACACAATACATTAGTTATAATATTAAAATGACTTTGCTGATGACACTGAGAATGTGTTATTTCTAATACCTCTCCCCTGGCATCTCCTTCATCTGACTCAGATGATGAGTCTGCGATCAGAGATGGAGGGCGTGATCGGCCGTGATATGGAGATGGGGACGGTGTTTTTGTTTCATCATCGCTGTCAGCTCCTGGGACACGTAATGAAGCTTGAGGCAGACAGGGACCAAAAGGATAGAGGAAGAAAGAGGTATCGTGTCAATTAATTATGGCCACAACAATATTTAAGTATCATGTCTGACAGCATGGGCTTTAGCATCACATTTGCATAGGACTTCAAAACATTTGCTCAGATTACGGAATTCAGTTAAAAAGTCAGCAGATGCATATTCAGAATGTAATTTGAAAATATAAATCTGGATATGAAATTTGAATGATAATAATAATAGTAATAATAAATAGCAAAAATAGGTACCCCAAATTTTATATTGTAAGCAAACATTTCTTTTTTGTCAAAAAGAAAAAAAAAACTTATGTACTTCAGAATTTGGTTTAAATGGTCTTCATTATATAAACTTGATATAGGCCTAATATTAACAACCTTAGCAATGGTGTTTGTGTGGTAATTTAGACATGATATATCTTTACAACAGTTGTTCCCCAACTGCAGCACGCGGACATATGGGGGTCTTAAAAAATAATAATAAAATATAATAATTTTAAGAGTTTATTTCTTTATAAAATATACATATTTGACATTTGCTGCTAGCTGATGTGAGTCGTCAGTGTTACTAAAGTAAACAGTTTAATGTAACAAACACTACTGCCGTTCGAAGAATCGCCTGCGTACATTTAAATCTTGCGATGACAGATGCTTCCGCTGTGAAAGCCGCCGTTTTTAAAAATATCGCGAATTGACTGAACAGACTTTTAAGGCTACGGTAACCTCCGTACTAAAACTATCGCAAAAACGTGCATTTGCTTAAAAGTCAGACAGCCCGAAAAGATACAAAATGGTGGTAATATGGATTTGCAAATTATCTCTCCAAAATGGATGCATCCATTGGAGAGATAATTTGCAAATCCATATTACCACCATTTTGTATCTTTTCGGGCTGTCTGACTTTTGAATGATTTATGAGGAAAACTGTCCCAGTTTCGATGACCTAAACTAAAGAGAAGGTAAGCAGCAATAATCGTTTGTATTTAGCCTACAATTCAAATGTGTAAGTATCTTAGCTTCCAATAAGTGTAAATTGGTTTATTACCTGTTAAATGTGATTGTGTTTCAAGCTATTATCATATTTAGGCGAGATAGGGTGGTGGGGGTCCATGATAAATTGATGGGTCCATGATAATAATTTGAATAAGACCTAAAGATTGATGGTAGTTTGAAAAGTTTGGGATCCACTGGACTTAAAATACAGTTTCTAAATAAGAGGCAATAGAATTGTGTTATTTTACAAACTAAAGTTCATTCATTCATCCATTGATCATTTTGAGCATATTTTAGAGAATATTCACCAGACAAGCTTTTTCCATTGCTTTTGTAGAAGCAGAGAAATGATGCAAAACAAGTTACAAAAAAATGCATATATTTGACAATGATTTGAGCTCACTACTTGTAAGGTCCACTATCAGTTACTTTTTAATCATCTGTGACTCAGGATATAATAACTAATACTGTACTTTATTATATTTCTCCTGTGATTTAACATGCACTATATCATGCTTGTGCAAAAATAAAATTGTGCCCACACAAACACTAATGTAGGCCTATTGCTCATGCGTTCATCCATTTTCTTTGTATATACTGAAACAGAGACACCTTGAAAGTGTAAAAATGAGACCGTCTGCATCCACTGAATTTCAGAATGTCCAGTTTATTTTGAATTGTGACAAATGGCCCTTATTTTAAAGAACCATGACTTTATTACCACTAGGCAATACTTGAAGCATTTTTAACATTATTAAAGATCTTAAATTTATGCCTTTTTTAAAAAAGGTTGAGAGCCAAAGAAACAAGCAAAGTGATTAACAACAGCATAGCCTCATGGAGAACAAGTCAAGGTTCTGGTGTGTTACACTGGAGGTTCTGCGGATACATACTGGTTACTTTGGGCCAAGATTTCATCCACTGGAGCACTTGACGGTTCTGTAAGCTGTCTGAACAAATCAATGCTTCAATGAGAATGTGAGTGAATAGAGGGATGAGAGGATGGATGGATAGTTTGATGGATAGACAAAAGAATGGAGTCAGTGAGCTGTGTAGGAATTGAGGAATCCAGAGATACGTATTTTTTGTTTTAATTTTTTTAAATATAAAACAGAAGGGAAGTTAAGGAATCTACACAGAATGTGTTCATTAAAAATTTCCAGAGTATAATTAATTATTTAAAACAGTGAATTTGCGACAGGTGTACTCCATTTCAGTACTCAGTACATCCTGTGGCATAAATTCAAACATCTGAGCACACACTAAACTCATTCAAAAACAGTGCACACTGTTTTGCGTGAATATTAGGATGCATCTGCTGAAAAAGACTACATTAGCAAGATAAATAGTTATTAATAGTGCAAAATGACAAAATTTACAAATCAAGAAGGCTAATTTAATAAAAGTTAGTACAGTATAAATAGTACATATATTTATACATGTTGTAATTCAGTCCGGCAGTGCAGATTCTAAAAATATTTTGCTCTATATTATTGACTGAAAAAAGCAAAAAAAAAAAAAAGTTTTCTCTTCCCTTGAGTAATCCTGGCAAATACCCTTTCTGTGATTTGGGTTGTGAGTTTTTTTAAGAACTCCTCTGTACCCACTTCACCCAAGGAAGGTAGTTTGATCTCTCCTGAGATGTGATCACAGTAATCATTTGTATTGTTGCAGAGTATTTGACAAATACATGATCATGGCAGTCGCTCACTCTGATATAATCTGACAGTGCATTGATAGTAAACAAAAGTAGTTCAAAAAATAATAAAAATAGAACATCAATATCAAATATTCACCTTTGCCCTCTTCCTCCGGTGGGCTGATAGTAATTCCCAGAACCCTGGAGAAAAAAAAACATTCTAAATCTCTAAAACTTTAAAATGTTTAGATGAATAAAAGTATCTAAACTGACAGCTGTAAGCTTTTATATTTAAACTTACTCTGGCCCCACTTTCTTTTGCTCTGGTGCTGTTGGACAGAAAAGTAAGCATGGTGAAAAGACTACACATACAGTACCAGCCAAAATCTTGGTAAAATACTATTTAAAAGTCACATGATTCTGACATCACTACGGTCAATAACTGAACCATGAGTTCCTGACCTGTCTCTACATCCAGTCGGGCTGTGTTGACTGACTGTCCAGCACGGTTGGTGGCGATGCAAGTGTACAAGCCGCCATGTTTTTTTTCCACTTCCATGAGGATGAGACTATGTTGACGGCCAGAGCTGGCCACCTTGTAACCTGGTGTGTCTGCCTTTATCCACAGAACATCCTTATCTGACACTTCCTTTAACCAGTTTACAGATGGGGTTGGGGAGCCTTTGGAAGACAGTAACTTAGTTTTACATATTTCACCTTTTGTAATATGCAACTGAACGTTATGCTTAATACTTTTGTCTACTTCTCAAAATTGCATCTAAAGTAATTTTCTTGGTATTTAATTTATTGTGGTAACACACCATACCTTCCACTTTGACTGACAGCGTTATACTTGCTCCCTGTTTCACCTTCTTGTTGCTGAACCTCTCCAGGAAGCGTGGTGGCACAAGTGGCACCTTTGAATCTATTTGTGGAAAAACACAAGTGGCGTAGCAAATTACATGCATGCATAATCTTTCATATCAATACTTTAAATTTCAAAACGCATTTGCATCTTACATCATGTGGAACAATGATTCATAACGTGCTGTATGCAAGATAGATGCTTACCTCTCATTCGTCCCTGTTCAGGTGCGGGGCGCTCTCCAGGAGCTAATTAGTGAAAGTAAACAAAGAAACAAACAGAAAAACATTTTAGAATTTATTTAGCACATTTAATTTGGAGAACAATTTTACTGTAATTATGATTAATAATTGATCATTTCAACGCACTTCCATTTCCTGTCACAGTCTTACAAAGACCCTATGCAAGCGACATATAAAAAGAGTTAAAGTATCAAAGGAACACTTACCCAGTACATTCAGTCGTGCCGAAGAGTAGGCAGAGCCAGCTATATTGCTAATATATGCTGAGTATTCTCCGGTGTCCTCGCACTTAACATCTAAAATCTCAAGATTGTGCTGATCTTGCTCGGTCGATAGTACAATTCTGCTGGAGGCTTGGAGTGGGATGCCATCCTTAAACCAGTAAACCCTTGGTGTGGGAAATCCTGCAGAAAGGCATTGAACATGAAATTACATTTGCCACCCATTTTACATCTGCAAATGCAACAGCTGAAAATTACAGTAGACTTAGATGCAAAACAATGTGCATGTTTATTAGGAATATAAACAAGTTCATAACAAATAGACCAGATACAAAGAAGGATTAAGGACATTAATGTCATCATTATGGTTAGAGCAACTAGAGTTGAATAGATACAACAGGTGCAGATGCAAAAAAGGAAACACTTGGAATAAATAGTGCATAATTAATCAGAATACAGATTAAATAGAATCTGAATTGAAAGAGAATTTGCATTCATGGGGGAAAAAAAACATAGCTGACCTTTGACCTTGACACTCATTTTGGCAATGGGTGCTCCGGGACTGAGGAATAAATCATGTAACTCATCCACAACTTGAGGAAGCTGCTCGTCCTCTGCCACCGACTCAAAAGCCTCTGTGTCCCTGTGCTCTGAGCTAAAAGAGCAACCCAAACACAAGCAGAAGCCAATTTAGAACTAGCATGAAATTTAAATCAGAGGTTTGTTTTGGCAGGATCTGAGCAAAATCTATTTTATCCTTGTAGTACTGACATAAAAACGTCATAAAAATCACTTTAAATTAAATGACTGAACCTTACCTAGACACATAACCTTTAGCACTGACAAAGGAAGATGTCTCTGTGGCATCGGCTGCTGTGTCATAGTCTGAGCTGCAAGACACTTTAAAGATACACAAGACTGAATCAATAATCAAACAACACGAGTCTTGAAATCTTGAGTCTTTAAGAATAGTATAAAATAAATGTCCAAAAACAAAAATTGTCACCATTTACTAATACTTAATATTCAAACAACAAATTAACAAAAATGAAGAAAACAGATGAAAGGATCTTTAATTAGTTCTCAATATCAAAATACATATAAATATCAAAAGCATTCATCTTAAGTATGTTGAGAATGTAGGTGCATTTTTAGGCCTTCTAGACACAAACAATAACAATGATAAAACACATGCAGTCACATTCTTACACTTCACAGATGCACCAGTAAAAGAAAGTGCCATCTTTGCTAAAACATTTCAATCTGGAACACCATTTTGCTTTCTTGTCTACATTTGTAAGTTTTGGGTTTTGATTAACACTTTCTTTTAACAGTGTACTCACTGTCCACCCTCAGCTCAGCCTTGCTGGAGGCGATGCCACTGTCATTTTCAGCCATGCATCGGTACACGCCCATGTCTGCGGGCAGCACAGCTGTGATGATCAGCTGGTGATGGCCTTCCTGGTCTTCATTGATCATGTAGTGGTCGTTTTCCTCCAACATCTTTCCATCCTTGAACCATCTCACAGTGGGAGGGGGGTTGCCGACAATTACACAGTCAAAACTGACTGGAAACCCATCAGGAACATCTTGGCTACGGAGCTCCGTCAGGAAGACGGGGGCCGCTGGGAGGTTGGTAGGCGATTAAGAGAACAGGGAAGAGCAAACAAAACCGAAAAGAACAAATCATAGCAATTTTTTTTTGAGGAGAAATGCTGAACCAGGCGAAAACATGACATGCCATCACTTTAAGATCCAAAACAAGCAAGTCGCAACATTTCTGGTACATTTCAAAAGTGCTGCTCTATAATGACAAACAAAATCCAGCACTGAATCATGCAACTTTATGAAGAACCAAACAACAGCAGCAAAAACATTTATAGTAGAACCACATGGAAGAAGTGTCATACCAGGGGCTCCTGTCATGAAAGCAGGCATCGGTCGGTCCTGAGTTGGGGTTTGGGAGCCATCTTGGGAGAGACCCATCTTTGTGATACGCAGCTCTACCTTAGCACCTGCCACTGCTATGATGGCCATTTCGATTGGCACTCCTTGATAAGTAAACATTACCTGGAAGCGCTGGGAAGCTACTTGAGCTTCTGCACGATTATCAAAACGGATGTAGATATACTGATCGTCTTCCCGGTAAGACTGTAAGTCCGGTGGCAGTAAATCTCCTTCATCCGCACTAACAAAAGGTTCCTCTTCCACATCTGGAGGGAGGCGAGTACGAAGAAGTCGCCGTAATCGTTTACTTGCTTGCCGTAAAGTCTCATCCAGCTCACTCCCTGAGGAGCTCTCAGCTTCGCTATCTGCACTGTAGCCTAGAGTGAGTGGGCGTCGCCCAGAAGATTCCCGCATGGACCCTACAGTGACTTTGCCACTATGGGTGGAAACACCAAACTTATTGGTTACTTCACAAGTATATACACCTGTGTCTTTGGTTGTGGCAGCTGTCACTACTAGAGAACAGGTGCCATCATTATAGATGTCAATATGGTGGTGCTTGCCATCTGTTAAGGGTTCACCATCTTTCAGCCAGCGAACTTTATCCGGCTTACCCTCCACAATGCACTCGAGATGAATTGTCCCATTGGGCTCCTTAGTTTGATCCTTAAATACTTCTTTGAAGACTGGTCGCATGTCCTTCCTGGCTTTATAACCTTTGAAGGCTGCCTGAATCTTGACAACAGCCTCTTGCAACTCATCCCCTTTCTGAGCTTCCATGAGGGGTTCCACAGATGTCTTTGTAACAGATTGCTCTGTCATCTGGAAGTGCTCATACAGTTTCTTGGAGGCAATAGTCTCAGTGTGACTTTCCACAGTCATAGAGGACTTGCTGCTTTTCTTTAGGTAAGACACCAAGCTTGTTGTCCCACTGAGAGATTCCTCATCAGAACTTGTATAGAGATTAGGCTCCCCTGTGATCTTGGGAGTTGGTTCAACAGGTCTCACTTCCTTTTCAGGTACTTTTCCTTCTTTGCTCTGGGCTTTTTCTTTTCCATCTTCTTCTGGCAACTCTGAAATTGAATCTAATGTGGGTTCCCGACTCATTCTCCTCTTCTTGGCCACTGCATCCCATAGAGCATGTAAATCTCCCTCAGAAGCAGCCTCAGGAGGCAGTTTGGGCTGGCTGCCCGCATCCTGAGAAAGTGTTGTGTCATCTCCTGTAATCAGGGAGCCATCATAAATCTTACTCATGCATATGATAACATTTTTATGTTGGAAAAATTATATTAAATATATCAACAATCTATCTTTGCAACAGCAATTTGACTGCAAATAAACTCAGGTAAATTGTGAATAATACACAAATTCGAATAAAGTTTATCACTGAAACAAACAGAACTAAAAAAAAAAGAAGTGAAAAACATGAAAAGAAAAAACACTGAAATGTAATGTAACGGTTGTAGTAACATTTACAAATATTTAGTACTTGTTGCAGAAAACACTATTTTGACATTGCAGTCTTATTGAAGTTGGAATGAGACAGGAAAAAGATATTTGGAGACTGTAATCTCATAATGAAGAAAATCATGAAATGGCAAAGTTCCAAACACTATGACCAAGACACACACAAATGATTATTTCCACATATGTGACCCTGGACCACAAAACCAGTCATAAGGGTCAATTTTTTAAATTGAGATTTATACACCATCTCAAAGCTGAATAAATAAGCTTTCCATTGATGTATGGTTTGTACATAGGACAATATATTGTATTGTCAATATATATACAGTTATGTAGTTATGTATATATATATTGTATATATTGTATATATATATTGTGACGAGCGTCCCGAAGCTTCATCAGCGTCGCCCTGGAAACAAGCGAGGAACACCTGCCCGTCCTCGTCACAGGCTGATCGGTCACAGCTGCAGCTCATCAGGCGGTGGCTACATAAGCCATGCAAGCCCTGCCACCTTGGAGACACTTCTCCATGAGACTGAGCATTAATTCGCCCTCTCATTTCTCCCACAGACATCAGCGTATGACCGACCAGCCCCACAGGAGCACAGCACGGACCCACTGCACTGGGAAGAAGGACGAGAGCACTCACGGCACCGGAGCACCCACTTGGACCTTTTTCTTACTCACCCCCTTGTAAATAAATCCACCCTCCGGGGCATTTATTGAGCCATCCTTGTTGTGTGATTCTTCACCCCGTGACAATATATATACAGTTTGTACATTGTACATAGGACAATATTTGACCGAGATACAACTATTTGAAAATCTGGAATCTGAGGGAGGTTGACAAAAAACAACAATAGTAAGTTAGATGTGAGGTTAAGCAAAGTAAAGTACCTTCGAGGTTGAGGTTGATTGAAGTCATTGCCTCTTCTGAGGCTACACAATAATAGACACCCTGATCTGTAGACTGGAAATCCTTTATGAGCAAAACTTGGCTCTTTCCTTCTGTTACCATTTGGTACTTGACCCCAACATCTATCTCTCTGTTGTCCTTTAGCCATGTGACTGACTTGCTCTCTGTAGAAAGTTCACACTCTAAACGAACCATCTTTCCTTTTTGGATCTTAGAGCTGCTTAACATTTTGGTCATGGTCACTTGTGCATCTGAAGATCCAATGTTCATTCAAAGAACAGTTGAAGAAATGTAGCAATAATTCAACAAGAACAAATACAAAACACAACAAATAAAATACAACAAATACAAAATACACTTGTTTAGAGTATAGTGTTCTACTACTACTGTAGCATCTAGGGTAGAGTTCTTCACTCCTGGTCCTAGAGAGCCACTTTCCTTCTGAGTTTAGTTCCAGTTGTAATTAAGGTTTTTGGGTTTATTTTAAAGCTATAGCCAGGTGTGATGGAGCACAGCTGAAACTAAACTCTGCAAGAAAGTAGCTCTCCAGGACCAGGAGTGAGGAACCCCAAACTACTGCAGAATAGCAAGCCTTCTATATGGACTCATGGAGGCAGTTTGGTTAGATGAAAAAACAATGTACTCACAATGTACTCTATAAGGTTGCTTTCAACAAATTGGTTATTTCAGCAAGTATCCACTTACCAAGTGTCACAGTTTGAGGCAGCTGGACAGGCTCTCCAAAACCAGCACGGTTGATGGCTGCCACTCTGAACCTGTAACCTTCCCCCGGTATGAGGTTTTCAACCAGAAATTCAGTGTTGCATACTGGTTCTGAGTGGCAGGGCAGCCAGAGGACACTGTCCACTAGACGCATTTCCACACGGTAACCACTGATTGGGCTTCCTCCATCACTTAGGGGCGTGAACCAAGATAAGGTGACAAACGTTGGACCTTTAATAACCAGCTCTGGGTCTTCAGGGGGATCAGGCACAGCTATAAATAACCAGATAAAATGTAAAAAACAAATGTTATAAGCATAATAGCAGAAATGATAATGAATGAGGTACAAATGAAGACCCTTACATATTGTGATGAGTTTGGCAATTGATAAGGCATCCCGGGCTGCAAATGTGATTTCCTGTGTGGGCTGAGCCTGGGCTTTTTTCAAAATTAGGCTGTAGGAAGAGCCACTGGCTCTCATGGCCCATTGGTCATTACATTTTAGCTCAACACCATTTGCATACCAAGTCCCTTCACTCTCAGGCACAGCTTCATTCAAAACACAAGTGAACTCAACTTGTTCTCCTGCAATGGCGGTCTTATCTTCCAAAGGCTTGACCACCTCCAGTTGCCAAGCTGTACAGAACAAATCCATAACATTTAAATACATTTACATTTATGCATTTAGCATCATATTTAATATATTATAAAACGGGAGCATGAAACTACAGCATAATAGTAAATAAATAAAGCTATACCATATATAAGATAGAAAATTAACTGCATCATTATTCAAAATATAGACATGACCTATAAAACTAGAGCAGTCATTTTTCTTTAATAAAATATGATGTAATACCTTACATCATCTGATGTAATACCATACATCTATCTAAATTTAATGCTAATACTACAGAAATGACGTACCTTTGACAGACAGAAGAGCAGTAGTTGATGAAGTGCCAGCTTGGAATGTAACCCTTGTGTTTTCACAAGGATGCAAGTTCTTTAAAAGCAGAAGATGGCGTCTGCCACTCTCAAAGGAAACAATCTCCACGTTTGCGGACTCCTTTACATGCTTGCCATCGATTAACCACTGGCAGTCTTTGTTTTCAGGACGAGACAAGGAGCATTCAAAAAGTGCTTCCCCGCCATTAATGGTCTCCACATTACTCAGCTCTTGAAGAATGTCAATTGGTTTAGCTGTAAGAGAGAGACAATGCCTGAAAAAACACTGGCTTTATACACGCCAAAACAAGTCCCTGTAGTACTCAATGACTTTGACTGGCCTTGAATTAAAAATAACTTCTGAACTAACAGTTACTGAATCCTGCACAATCACACTCAATTAAAATTTCTTCCAACATTTCACTAGCATATACAGTAGCATCCAGCATTGAGTAGCGTAAGAAGCATGATGGTTACTGCATAGCCAGCCAGATGATGATGATGTTGCTAAAAACAGCAATTTTGGAGTAAAAAAAAAGGACCAAAAAATCCCAGTATTCCAGTAAAACCCTTTGTGGTAAGCCCTTACTTGTGCAACTTACAACTTAATATTTCTCAAAGTCTTTGCGAGTCTTAAAATGAGTCTTTGTGATGATCCAGCTTTGAGTTATGGATGACACACAGATTCTCTTCGCCGACAGGTGTGCTCACCTTGCACCCTGAGATGTGCCACAACAGAGGTTCCTTCTGCCTCACAGGAGTACATCCCCCCATCCTGGGGCTCCACACAGCTAATGTACAACCGCGCAACAGTCCAGTCCTGTTCCACTATCACCCTGCGACCGTCTGCTTGCACAGGTATGCTGTTTTGCTTCCATACGGCCTTGACTGGCCGGGAGTACTGACAGATGAACTCTGCAGGCTGGTTTTCTGCTACATGTTGGTCCTCCATGGCACTGACCACCTCCACATTGGGATCTATAGAGGGTTGGTGGTGGGGATAAGTAATATTCACAAGACCCCAGTGCACTTTGAAGTAGAGTTCTTCACCTCAAGCCTCTTTCAGGTTTTGGGTGGTATTTAATGCAATTTAAAACTAAAATATACAGTAAGCCTGGTACTTTATTCAGTTTAAAACAACAGCCTTTACAACCTCATAATCTAAGTCAGTTCTGTAGCTGTTTCTTTTTCTTTCACATTGAAATGTACATGGTAAGTGTAACATCTTTTTTTGCTTCTCTACTCCAAACTGACCAAGGACATGGTCAATTACAACCAACACATGCCTAGTTGCAGTGTCAAGTCAAACTAAGGCCAATTAATAGAAAAAGTACATGCAGCACAAACAAACAATGAAGACTGATGAGTGTACAATTATCTGATTTAGAGTGCATCCAAAACCATTATTGTTTGCTCTGAATTTTTGGGCAAAAGGTTGCTTGCACAATTTCACTTAGATGCTTTGGTGCATCCACTAGGGCTTTCAGTTTTATATATTAATTTTACCTCAAGCAGATTAACAAACTGAAATTAATAAAATGTAAAATGGATAGCTGGAGAAGTGATAGGCTGTATGTCAAATAATATGCAAAAAGCAGACAAACAATATATTGACTTCTACAGACACTTTTTTTGTGATAAAATCTTGTTTTTGAATTTAAATAATCTGAATGATTAATTTAGGACTTTTCTCAGCATATTTTTAACATGATTAATTTAGATTAATTAATATGAATAGCATGCTTTTTTATGGAAGGGCCAGTAAAAAAATTCTGGGCATGTAAAAATCTGAACCCCTGGCCTGACTGTGCCAGTAGTAAAAATCGTTGTATTGAGCCCTGCTCCATATACAAGCTCAAAATCAGTGTGCTAATTTAATAATTAGTATGCCAATTTTGTAAGTAATTAGCAAGCCGTGATACTGCAACCAAATCCAGTTTTAGGTTAGAAATACATGGCACATGGACTACATGCATCCATGAATTTTCATTAAAATGTTTTTTTTTTGTTTTTTTTTTCAACCCATCTTACTGTATATTTTGCCTAACAGTAAAGGGTCTAACAAAAAGATTCAATTCTAGGCATGGGTAACCGTAAAAGAGAATAAAGTAAATAAAATCCTGTTCTGTCAGGATTGCATTATTGAGCACTTAACCAAAGGACTCTCCAGGGTAGTCTGTGTAAAGACACTTTAAATTTAGAGTATTATTAATATGGATAAGTAATTCAGTAATATGAGTATACAAGTCTGAAGAACACAAACAGTACTGAACTACTTCAAGGACAGATTAAGACACAATTCAAGATTTATGGTCTAACTGTAGCCGTTAAAAAGAGGTCAAGGCAACCTAAATGCTTCACAGAATGAGTAACCGACTTTTAGATTTAGGAAATTCATGGACACAGTATTAGTCCAGTGCTATTCAAAATTTTAAGCTTCTACATTTCTGTGCTGCCAAGTACTGCCAAGCTCCACTGCATTTGGTACCTTTCACTAACAGCTTGGCGGAGGATGTCAGGCCACCTGTTTTGAACAGGACTGTACCCGAATCATTGGGAGAAAGGTTCCTTAGGGTTAGAGTGTGGACATGGTCTTCACCCACACTTATTTCACTGAAGGTACTGTTCTCCAAACGAGTGCCGTCTAGCCACCACTGAACTCTGCCTTTGGCATGGCGAGAGAGCTGGCAGGAGAAAATTGCCTGTTCGCCCACAAACACATCTGTATTCTTTATACCCGACACTATGAGAACCTCAGCCTCTGCAGAGACCAGACACAGAAACCCTTAGATAACCAGTGTCTAAAAACACTCATACATTGAGGATGCTTCAAAAACATAATGTGAATCTTATGAGGACGTAATGACAAAAAGCTACAGATTTGAAATAACCTCCAGCCCGAGAAAAATCTGTTTGCTCTACAACAGAAATTTTTATAACTAAAATATAGATTGCAAATGATTTAACAATGCTATTTGATACCTTGCACAGTGACTGATGCTGTGGTCAACTGGTCTCCAGCATCACAAGTGTAGTAGCCATTGTCCTCTGGTTCCAGATCATGGACATGGAGCTCCAGCACACACCCTTCCTTTTTCATCTCAAATTTCTTACTGGGTTGGAGCACCACTCCACCCTTTCTCCACGCTACACTTTTAACCGGCTTAGAAAGCTCACAGCGCAAGGTGATACTATCTCCCTCTATTGCATTCTGGTTGTCTAACTCCTTCCGGAAATATGCAGGTTGACCTGATGATGGATAAGAAAAGAAGTTAAAAGAATGTAAATGTCAGATTTTAAACAGCTGCTGATATCCGTGAGGGTATCAAAATCTTCTTTGTTCCACAAGAGAGGCAGTTATAAAGAAAAGAAAACCAGAACGGGTCTTCTTGAAACCCATTTGTGTTCACTTTATCTTCAGGCATGTTGATAAAATGAAAACAAAAAAGTCACAGGCCTACAAACCCGTTTACCTTTAACAGTAAGGGTGGCACAGCTTTCTGCATCTTTGGTTTTGCATGTATACAACCCTGCATCTCCTTCCTCCACTCTAAGGATGCGGAGCTGATGGACGGCTCTATCCTTGTAGAGCAGATACCGCCCCCCTGCCTTTATCATCGCTTCATCTTTGTACCAGGTGACAGAGGCCTCAGGGTCAGAAGTCATGCAGGACAGTGTGACTGTTTGACCCTCTTTGGTAGTTAAGTCCAGAGGCTTCTCTAAGAATACGACTATGGACAGGAGAAACCCAAACCCAAGTGCTGTCACATCATAATGTCTGCCTGAAGACTCTGAAACTTAGACACTTGAAGCAATTGAACATATACTGTGGTACATTAAAAGAGCTTTACTGAGTGAGAAACTTCTGTTTTAACAGCTATGGGCAGGAAATAGACAAAAGACTATGTCAGAACCAAAAATGTATGAAAAAAATCATCTTTCTCAAAAAAAAAAAAAAAAAAAATTTTTGGAGTGAAGCTGTA